TTTCCCTCATTTATAGTCTTAATTCGCTGATTCAGCGTGGACGACAAGGGGGTAGATAGCTCCTCCCTTGTGTTCTAATTTCTTAAAGTTAGGCTTTCATTGGGTATTCTATGTGGCTGGGGGTGGACCTCTTGCGTCTTATCGCTGTGTATTTACTCATATGACCATCTCCAGTGGCCTAGTTAGCGGAGCGTCTTGCATACGGTATTACGCATGAATGCTGATTATCGCATTCTTAACCTCATTGCGTGTCCATGTGTTGTCATCTTTGCTCTTTCACTGCAAAACACCTTTCGCAAGTCTCCAGGCACCTAGGTAATGACTTAAATTTTCAATCCCAAATTTGATCCTCAACACTAGGCAATGACCGCGAGATAAGCAAATATATATCAGAGCCGTTTTTGGGTAACCCCTTCGCAAACAAACGCGTTTTACGGAAACATTGAAAATCAAATATCTAAGAAATTATAACAGGGAGACGCATAGAGATCTCGATAAATTTTTATAACCTACATCAAACGACAAAGAAAAAATAAATATACAGAATAAAATAAAATGACAGTGCGTTACGAGGAATGGTTCTCTAGCAAATAAGCAATATTTTTCAGATTTTCAAAATTTTAGGCGGTCATTTCAAACATCTATAACATCTGCCGAGTAATGTTCTACCACGATGCTAAATTTGGACAAAACCGGGTCGACGTTGCAGAGTGTATAAAGAACACCTATGCAGATACATTTTTATTTATAATAGTAAGAGGTTTAATATTTCAAATTACCAATGAGATCTTTCAACTTGAAGGACGTGAATAAATGAGATTAATTTACGGTCTCAGAGCTGCTCTGTCTTGCTTGGGTTTCATAATGTGGTACTTTTCATGGGTCTCAAGGATTTAAGTACAGTTTATTGAATTCAACAAGGTTAATTGGTTGATGAGGGTGTTTACATGTATATGGAAAACAACTTGTGAAGACGGGGCCAACTGGAACGGAAGTTCATCCCACTGGATAACAAAAGGATTCCATCATTTTAGTCAAGGGCAAAGGAGACAGTGAACAGATACCAAGCCGTGGGCACAATCCCCTTACACAGCACTCTTTAATTTTCTCGCGGAAACCGAAATCCAATGTAAACTTTTACCAGAAAGGGTTCTTTAAAGGAACAAATAGATTGTAGTTTTAATCCTCCTATCTTATTGATGTGATTTTGTTCCAAATTGTCGAAATTTCATTACTAGGAGATGACGTCGATAACAGGTCTTTCAGAACGTGTATAATTTTCTTGTATAACTGAAATATGACGGATGCTTCCTCCACAGTATCTGAAAAATCCGTATCATTTATTTCGTCGAAATTTTGATAAATTTTATTTATTTTCAATACAGGGGAAGAGGTGTAATTTGCCGCCTCTAGTTCACCATTTAAAGTTGGTCTACCCTGATAACAATTTACAGTATATTTACAACAGATGAAAATGAGTGTATCAGTAATACCACCACAACAAAGAATCAACATCGATTTTAATATAAAACGAATTTTTAAGAAAAACACAAAAACACTTACACCGACATAACCACAACATACAGTGAACTGACTGCGCATGCTCCTTATTGCTTCATAGGTTGCAGAGTGAAGCCATTTTGTCACAACGTCCACATGTCTGACGTCGCCATGTTGTCGTACCGAATCGTGATGGTGTTGGTGCAGTATTTCACTCCTCTCTGCATCATCTCCTGTGTTTATGCCAGGATGGCCCTGCGACTTTGGGGCTCAAGGGCGCCGGGGAACGCTCAGGACAGCCGGGACGCCAACCTCATGAAGAATAAGAAGAAGGTCAGTATGTACATCCTAAATATATATAAATGTATATTATCTGTCAGTGATTTGAGTCAGGGGCCTTCGAATTTCGATTTTCTGAATTTATGTCGAACTGTAACAAGGAAATATAATTTTGGTAGCTCTAACAGCAGTGGAGTTTAATTTCGATCAATTTAAAGTTTGGAAGACTGCATGAGATGCACTCAGTAGCAACTTAGAACTTGGGAACAGTCTCAATATTTGCTTAAAGACAGAGGAAATCCAAGAATTACTTTGTCGTGATGGCTAGTCGCAGCAGTCTCGGATAAACATTGACTTCTGCCTAATTTTCCTGCAAACAAAAGAAAACCGCCGTGGAACGAGAGCATGACCTTTCGGATGCTAACTGACTTTAGGACAGCAACACATTTTCTGTCAGTGTTCTGTCGGAATCCTGTTTTATACCTCGGAGCGAACAGGAAACACAAAATATACTGTGCACTGTTTCAAGCATATACGAACGCCAAGATTGCTTTGGTTGATCTGTCAGTTATGAACGGGGCTCTAAATCTCGTTCAAGTAACTGTGAAATACAAACATATATTTTTAAGTTCTTGTGTTCTTACGGCACTTATGCGTATATCTTATAAATAAGATAGTTTTTTCGACTGTAACTTAAACCTGAGGCGTTAATTACAGTACAGATAAAATAAAAATGATCCTCGTATGTCTTTTTGTTCCTTCGTATATTACTTAAATATTCCTTATGTACCTAACTACTGTACTTATGCTTTCCTTCCTTATTTCTATCTCTTATCCTGCTCAATTTCTAACCCCGCCCCTCACAATATATTTCTTCTTTCCTCCCGTTTCATTTCTTTGTTTATGAAACGTTTTAATCCTGTGATTAAATCTTGATTCTGATGTCAATACACGGATGTGTATGTACATATGTATCCCTCCGTATATTTCTAGACCAAAATTCTTAGTGGGGCTCCATACAGGTTCTATTCTCATGTTTGCAGTATTTGTACTATAGTACAAAATAGATCAAAACGTAAAATTTCCCACTCTGCATTATTTCTTTTAATTTTCTTGGAGCATCTTAACTGCTCATTCAAAAGACAAATTTAAAAACGGCACAAATAAAACATCTCCTAATTTCCGACCATGATTAACATGAAAATAACTTAAGAAATCAATATTTTTTGTATCCTTACGCCATTTAATATAAAAAAATAATTTCGGACGTTAGGAAAGTGCTTTCTCCATTTTCAGTGTTCTGAATATGGAGGCAGCCTGTTCCTCGAAACATCGGTAAAGTTTTACTAGACTAAACGATGCCACATCGCCTTCAGAATCTCAGGTCTGATAATTTTAAACTGTTTTGTGTGAACATTCAGCAACTGCCCCGAACCGGAGATTCGTACAAGGAAACCCATAGAAGTTGCTGAATGTTCAGAAGCTTATGTATAGGCCCAGAGCAACAAACTCACATCTTCTATGCTAAAAATACAATTTCTTTGAAAGCTTCAACACTAAACTCCCCAACATGGCTCTAAGTATCGCCCCCCCCCAGAACCAGTGGACTAAGAAAATATAAAAAATCAACACTATCAACAAACGGCCTCCATTACCCCAACTGGAAAATACACCAACCAGGACTCGAGCAGCCATAGACGACCCCGGTCCTCAATACAAAATTTGTTCCTACAGAGGCATCGTAACTCAGACCGATATTTTCCATGAGTTCAAAGTTATAAATTGAAGTTCCGTTCTTGGAAACCCATAACATGCCCTAAAATAACACAAATTGACAGATAAAATGGACGAAAACTAAGTAAAATTTTAATTACACGCATTCGCAGACATTCGTTAATAAATAAAAACACATTTCACACAAAAATGAACAAAAGAAACACGTTTTTAAAATCGATACTGCAAACGTACAGGTCGCTCTGATTAGACAGTTTGTGTTTTGTGGAAAGGGGTTAGCTGCTTGCGTCCGGAGCAGCAGATGTGAGTTTTTTTTGGGGGGGGGGGTTAAGGGTAAATTTAGCATGAAGAATTTGTCGTAAATGCGGTGGGGTTGGGGGGTCGTAAGTCGGAGATGGCCTGTATCTTGTGAGGTTACAGCTCCTTACTATGGCGAAAAGAAGATCAATAAAAAAATCAGAAGTATTAAAATGGAATATGAAGATTCCAGCATGCCGCATCATCATAATCATCAGTAATCTGTCAGACGACAGGTCCACAGTCTCTTCAAAAACAGTTCCTCCACTTAATGCGATCAAGAGCTTTCTCCTTCAAATGACAGTATCCTCTTCTGTCCCCAAGGTCATCCAGCATCTTCTTACGTCTTCTTCCTCGTCTTCTGGTCACTTCTATCCGCCCCTCTATCTTTCCATGGATTTTAAAACAATTTCGACCAGTAAAGTATATTTCTTGAGTGTAAAACCCGATTGTCCAAAGCCTGCCTTCGGACACTATACTAAGCCGGTTACATTCATCTCCGATCATAATGATATTTCTCCATATGATTCATATAACTTTCGTCTTTCCATCTTCTTCTAGTTCTCCCAGGTGGTAATTTGATGTGCATTACTTATCTGTCTATCCTAGTTTTATGCCCAACCCATCATACTCTTCTTTTTTTTCCCCTTGGCACTACATCCCCAGTGGGCCTAGGCCTACCTCCATGAACTCCGTTCACTTCGGTTTTTCTACATCTTACAAATTCGGTAGGACTCCTTGGGCGGGTGATCAGCTCGTCGCAAGGCCTCTGCCTATACACAAACACAGAAAAACGCACGCGCACAAACTAACATCCATGGCCTGAGTGGGATTCGAACCCACGATCGCGGTTTCCAAACGAGCGAAGGCAGTGCATGCCTTAGACCGCTCGGCTACCGTGACTGGCAGTGTATAAGAATAATATATAAGAATTCAGTTCGTACCTCACAGGAAACAGATTCGAACCCACGATCGCGGTTTCCAAACGAGCGAAGGCAGTGCATGCCTTAGACCGCTGGGCTACCGTGACCGGCGCATCATACTCTTCTAGAATACCAAAATAATAACAGATGATCTACATAAATCTCTCCGCGTGGAGGCGGGTTACAATACCTCCATCTTAGCCCTGCGTGTCGTAGAAGGCGACAGAAATGGAGCCCGGTGCCCGGGGGCTATAACTTGGCAGCCCTGTTCCCGAGGGATATAGATATAGGGACTTGATCCTCCTGGTTGGGAGCTAGACGCAAGGCTGACAACGTCTCCCTATAATTAAAATGTTATTATGAAATTCAAATAAGTGAAAACCGAATGCAGTCTCACGGAATCTATTACGGAAGGCTGTGTATTAAAAAGGGCTATTTCGTCAGTGATTACGTAATATTCATAATTGACCACGCAATCAAGCTCCGTAGCTCCTGGTATTATCCTCTCGGTTTAGTTTGTTCTAATCACGTGTTTGCAACATTGCTGGCGGTAACGGGTTTCTGGGTCCGGTAAAGCCGGCTACTGAGGCACGCCGCGCTGAGGTAAGGAGCGTTATACAGGTTCGAATAAAACATGAAGCGGTAGGATAATATTTGTAATAGCGCGTGCGGAAGTCGAATAAGTTTCCGGATGAACATTCCATTTCCGTCTAGCCGACTCGTCTTCCAGCCCCCCTGCAATATTCAGATCCGCTACCAGCATTACCTTTACAGGTACAGGCAAACAGGAATATCAGAAGCAAATTCAGTATAGCTCGCTTGTGGACTGAAGGCCAAGGAGGAAAGAAAGTAGATATGTGCGGTGTAGTATATAAAGGCCAGTGTTTGAGTGGTATATGTGTTAGGGTGTGACGCCATTATGAGTGTTTTGGTGCGGGCAATGATTTAGGCATCAAAAGATAAAGCTTGCTGTCTGTTACTGTGTATAACGACAGTCAGATGATACTAGTTATGAGTCGGAGCAAAAGATGACAGGAAAAACCGAGAGTGGGAGTTGTGCTTGAGTGGAAGTGTTCACCTTTGCTGAAAATTTTCATAGTATACCTCTTGATAGAAGTACCACATGTTGCACTTTGTGGCATATTTGCTCAAAGCAAGAATTGGGGTGTCAGACAAACCGCCATTGCTAGGAAACTGCTGTGTAACACGCAACAATGTCTGATCCATCGCTAAGCAACATACGCAATAATGGAGTATTATTATTATTATTATTATTATTAGAGGGGTATTAGAGGGGACCAGTTATTGGTCCATTGTGCGTTCCCCTTTAATTTCTACTGTCTCCATACCCTACCGGTACTGGTGCGTGCTATCAGCCCCGTTCAGCCAACGAGGTCGGCCCTCGGTACCTGATATTTCCCCCATCTACCAGAGGCATTGGAAACTACTTGGGCAGGAAATGTGTTTCCTAATTTTGCTCAGAGGTCTCCTACGACACGGGACTTGTCCCGGAAGACTTGTTCCCTGAATTTTTCCGCCCTTAAAAATTCCACGACCTCCGCCGGGTTTGAACCCGCGTACCTTGAGTCATGAGGTGGGAACGTTACCCCTAGACTACGGAGGCCGCAACAATGGAGTAACTGTTGGACTCGGTTTTTTCTATGCGGTTCGTGCCGTTGCTACATAAGTTGTCAGTCTGTGAAGTCTCAAGGGGCTTGGCATCCAGACGAACTAATTGACAGTCAACAGCCAGTCGTAAAGTCTCTCTGACTCCCTGGAAACCGGTTTCCCTGCGTGACGTTGCTTCGAATACCTCCGCCATAGCTCTACGAGTCGTAGAGGGCGAGGAGAAGGGAACCCAATGCCTAGGGGTATAACTGGGCCACCCTATTCCTGGGGGATATAAATACGGGGACCTGGTCCTCCAGACTGGGGGAGTTTCTAATCCGAGACAGTAAAATATTGTCATCATTCCCACGGGACTATGAGCCGAGAATGCGCTGACGAAAACCACAAGCAATTGCAAACGTCAGACCCTCCTCTCGTCAAAGAGGGCGCCCAGCATGGACAAACCCTCAACTACCTCTCAGTAATAATAAC